TTCAAAAAAGAAACCCGGAAATTTGGGTCTGCTAAACTGCGAAGCTAATCGTGTAACGTGTCGTATGCACTTACATGCATGCATGGAACTGATACATAACGCATATTGATTGGTTTTTATGAGCCAAGTCAACCTAATCCGCATCTTGATTTGCTTTGATATCTGAATTAATGTTATAATGTATATTCTGTGATAACATTATTTCGTCTTACAACGTAGCCCGCGTGTATGTGATTTGAGAGTTTACGATTCACGACGTGGCCAGCTCGACGACGCGCTTGCAAAGCAAAGAAATACGTCATGCGAGCTGAAAAGGGATGAATAATTTGCGGTCTCAAAAGTTTCATCGACAGCGTTGCCATTCTTGGGACACCGTCAAAAGAGTAATTTTCACGTTTTCCTATAGCGATATAAAAACTCGTTGCGACATGGGAGCTGTTTTATAACGTTGACAGAATGCTAACATCAGCTATACAGCGGAGTAGTTTAGACCAATTTAAACATTTGTAAGATTATTAAAACATGTTTAGACAATTAAAGTAGTATAGTTAAATACCTGTGGCTTACTTCAAGCATAAATTGACTCGACGTCGTCGAGCTGACCGCGTCGTAGATCGTAAACTCCCCAATGACGCTTTTGGAAGTGTTCGTTCGGCATGTGAGTGTCTTGTCTATCTTGTTGCCTTTTATATTTTCCTTTCTGGTAAACCGCTAGTGAACAATCAAGTAAGCTTGATTTTTTCGTAATTTGATTAATAAACACTGTCGGCAGATATAAGCCGAAGAAATATCCGATACCTGCGAAAGGTAATTGCTCGAGCTTACATCGCATAGTTTGCTGTTCCTTTGCTCATTTTTCATTTTCATTAACTTTCGTTTCAGTGCTAAATGACATGTGCTTGATTGCGGAATGGGTTAATTACAAAAACAATTTTACACTTCTTGCAGTGCAAACAACATCTTTCAAGTTCAACAAGCATTTTCATTTGAACCATACACATTTAAGTCGTCTTCACGATCACAACACGAAATAATAATCATTTCATAATTCGGTATCTGTTTCAGAGTTGGATATAAAAGGGTTTGAAACGCATGTCGGCGAAGCAGTAGTTTTACTATAAAATATAAACAAAATTCCGCAATGCATTTTCGTTAACAATGACAAAGTAATTTCTGCAAGCCGTGTTCTGACGACATGGAAAACGATTATGTTCGCATTTTAGCAGACCTCTACTTCAGCTTCAAATTTTCATGTAGGGGCTGCTAAGCAGGCTATGCCTACTTGACTACTAACTTCTTGACGAAGGCCCCTCGCTCGAAAGGTCGAATTTCTCGTCTTATTTTTGCATCTCTACCAGAGTTGAGATAAATAGTTTATTACTATGAAACATCACAGCCAATCGCTAAATTGAGTTAAACATGACAATATTAGTACTAACTATAGTATTGATTTATAACCAAGAATGATAAAAGTATTTATAAGGTAAGACTACTTATATAAAAAATTATTTGGTGTGCGAACAATGGGTGCTAAGGCTGCTGCTATGAGTAAATTTCGGGGTGACCCTAATAAAAATGCCATTTTCTTCATTTTTGTGCACGTTTCGAAGGAAAAAACCTCGGAATACGATGAAGGAGAGAATAAAGATTACATTTTCAGTAATTTTCAAATATGGCAAAATTTACAAATTTATAGCGAAATTTTGTGTAAGACCACCTTATGCACCGTTGCCCAATACGAGTGGCGCAGCCATGCACGGGCCCAGCGCGTCCCGGGCCATACTCCCTTGGAAATTTTTGAATATAGAGTCCTTGAAATGCCATTTACTGAATTGGGGGTGGGTGGATTTTGCAGAATTCTGACGGTCAGAAAACGCTTATAACATGAGCAAAAATGAGTAGTACGCATTGGAATTCATATTTATTTAAGTATTTTGCAATAACGTGCAAAGTACTGTGAATCTGTGACAATGTGATATTAATTACATCATTTCCACATATCTTTGATATATTGTTGTGCGTTGATATAAAACGCGGATCTGACTCGACTTGAACTTATTTTCTTATCTGTGTCTGAAAATCAATTTCTAAAATATTCGAAGACAAATTGAAGCTATATATTATACAAATATTGTAAGAAAATGAACCACAAACCAAATAAGAGTCTTCTTTTGTTTTCTGTTGTCACGTTTTACTGCATCAATCATCGAATCCCTCACGAGCAGATGCATTAACATACACAGACCGAAAAACGTTCATTTTGTTCTTAATTATGTATATACTTGTTGTAAAATAAACAATTATACAGTGCTGCTCCATGTCTATAATATATTGACTTTCAAAATACGTCAATCAAATATATTCAATTTAAAAGAATATGACTAATGCTGATTTTTAAATCTTCTACAAAGATCATAATTATGACTAAGAGTAACATTCTTCCTGAGCGTGCATTTGGTTAAAATGCATTACAGTAAAAATCGTATAAAGAGATGTTGTACTTTTTATTTCCGCGGCTATAAATATAATTTTTGACGGTGTTTTTCAACAAATGTTTGCATATAATAATTTACTACAAAACAAACTATATTTATAATATATTGCTTTTTCAGTTCAGCCGCCGTGTTTCATTAGTCAAGTTTCGCGCACCTGCTACGTTTAACGCCATTTGTCACTTTCCAGCGGGTTTAATAAATTTTTATATCAACATTATAAGATTGAACAAATAATGTGATTTTTGCTTATTACATTCGCAACGAAGTAGATCAGTGTCTTCGTTTCTGTCAATTTTCAGGGTTTACTCTGCATCAGAAACTCGGAACGTAAATAAGGACAATATACCTTGAGCATACCTCGAGTTGTTGACGTAATATATGAACAACGAGAGCGAGTGTTTCACCGGGATATCCAAACACGAGAAAAAAATGTATGAGAACACGAGCGCGAAGCGCGAGTGTTTTCATA